TATTTAAATACAAATTATTTATAAATAACCTTTTCTATTTTTTCAACTTCAGTACCATCACACGTTCAATTTGACATTCCACGCGTAATGTACATATAATTATTTTATGATCTCACGTCAGTCATAGAATTTCCAGACTGTATGTCGGTCTGTGACGAAAAAACCCAGCAACATCATTATAATTCGTGAATATCTCAAGCATGAAGTAAATTTATACTTATGAGTTTTGCGACCTCTTGCTACATGAAACGAAGCCGGTAATAAAAATATAATGGCTAAACGCCGTTGGTATAAGTCTGGCATTAAGATTTTAGATAAATAGATAATTTACTAAGTAACTTATATACACACATATATAACTTAACAAAATACATTTATTTAGTGATAACTTTGATATTTATTTATTATGACAAAGTATTTAATTTAATTAAAATTTATTTTGTTTCTTTCTATTGTCGTAATAAGTCCAAAGACAGTTACATTAGTTATGTATATATATATAATTGTATTTACAAAAATCATAACTGTAGAAGTCAACTATAAATAATTACTACTTTTGATCTATTACGCCGCATTACATTAAATAATGTTATTTAAAACGAATCAGTTGACATTTATGAAAAGTATAAAAATAAGACAAAACAGACATATACCATGTGATATGACGAATAAAAGATAAATATATGAAATTATCTATATATTAATATATCTGAAACACATACACAATTATAAGAAAAGCACACGTAGAGCAATAAATTAATAAATAAAGTATTTCATCTACACTGTTTTACAAATGACTTACAGCCCTTACAATATGAGTGAAGCGTGAAAGATTTTTTCACTTATTTACCTCGCAATGAAGCACGGTTCACGCTTTTATGCATGCGTTAACCTTTTAAGAAAAAAATTAATGAGCTGAAAGAAAAAAGGAAAGGCACTAGTGACGTTGACGTCATTGAAGTATTGAAATATTGATCGTGGTATAAAAAATTACGTGAGAACTAATGAGAGGTAATTTATTAATGTACTTGGAATTGCCAACATGAAAAATACAGTAAAATAGACCATTTTCATTTCTGACATTTGTTCTTGTTAACAACATACATTTTTCTTCTATTTCCAAACCAATTTACAAAAAGTTTTCTTTTCTTTATATCTTACATTAGATATAAAAAATACTGTAGAATAGACACAACCTTCATATTTCTGAAATAATCTATGGTAACAAAAATCCAGCAGTGGACGAAAGTGGACTGACTGATGATGACGACGAAAGAAAGAACTGAGAATTTTCTCATGTTTCTTAAGCAATGTTATAAACGTCTTTTCTTCTTACTTCTTACTTGTCTCCGTATAAGGTCCCTCTAAGTACTTTACTAAATCAATATATCTAGTTACGCAAATTCTTCTACTTAATCATGCGAAACGTGATAATGCATGATTAGCAACCATGTGCGACGTAATAAGCCACCTATAAACACAGTGACCTGACACCTTGGTGGGTGGAGGAGCCACCCCAACTCACCCTATACACCGGCGACACCTCACATTGAGTGCATACCTACATGCAAACTAAATGCGTGGTAGAGGTCGGCCGAACGCAAACAAGCAAATGAGGGGAGACTGTGCAAACGTGACACTATTTTATACGTTGCACACACGTGAAACATGCAAAACAATAAAGACGGAATTCGCAGTACTGCAAGTGGTGTGATAAGTTCTTTCTTATATACGGAAAATAATATCAGCCTGTATAATAATCATATGTAAACAGTAAGACCATTTTTAATATAAAAAGATGTAAAATATCTAAGAATAGGAGTAAACGTAAGGGTGATGAAAATATTTTCCTCTTCAAAAAGTTGACTTAACGCTTACTTACTACAATTTTATGTTATTAGATATATTATAATTACTTCCATAGTAGTTCCCTCATATGTATATTAAGATGATATAATTCGTATTTAGTAGAATAATAATATACACTTCCAATTAAAAACATGACTATAAACATTGCGCAGCAAAAGACACCCAGACCCAGAAATAGAGAAACCTTAGCTCTATATAAAGAAGGTAGGCAATTAAACAAATATAACTAGTTTATTATTCATGATAAGTAAGTAGAGGTTTACGTAATTTTTTATTTATTTCTTTCGGATATCCATTCATATTATGTACTAACATACTTACTTGAACAACTTATAAACTATGTTAGTAAATCATAATATATATCCTTATTATTTTAACTCATGCAGTTCAGTGCCTCTGGAGTGGATCCAACATATCTGCTACAATGTTTAGGAGGTTGTTTGCGCTCCCCCGAATTCTACACAACAGGGCTGCAGTTTTTTTTTTCGAATTACATCTTTTACGCTTCACATCTATCCGCGCTAATACCTATAGTCTGTTTTTTAATCCCTGAGACTAAATTGACAGAAGTAAATATCAAACCTTTCCACTAATATTACCTATAGCGGGGTAGTGGTGTACCTGCCATACCTGTTTGGTTAATCGGAAACTTTTATTTTGACATATTGGTTTTAAAGCTTTAAATGACGTTTCCACAATAGAATTTTAAAATTTACATGTATAGTGTCATTACTGTCATCGTATTATACAGCATACAAAAACACAAAGTTAGTAATTTCCCTACAATTAGTAATTTCCCTAATACCCTACAAATAGACATTTTAACAGTTTTGTCTTTCAAACAGCAAAATATTTTAAATTGGCGTTTGTTTTATGATATATGACACTATAAAAAGGTCATTTGTTTTATAAAAAAGACAGTTAGTCTTTATTTATTTCAGGCAACTATAATATTTTAAAACTAATATATTGATCTTGTCTATGTGGTCATGGCACTGACGACGGCAATCTGCCTATACTCTATTAATTTTGCATTGATGTGTTTGAAATAAACACCCACACATTATTTCTGAATAACCTGTAAAAATAGATTAATATTTATTTCCGCTACAAACCTACTTGAAAAATGCAAAAACCGATCAACATTGGAAATATCAAATTTGTCTCCGGGATTAAAAAACGGTACTACTACTACTAGTTACTACTACTCCTACTACTAGCAATTCTACTTTTATACTTTAAAATATACACTATAAATGTATATTTTAACGTATAAAAGTAGAGTTGCTCATCTACGTATATATCACATCACTAGCTGGTACATTTGCATCGCCTGTTCATGATACCATAAGAACTGTAGGTCACAAGCATTTACATAATAACTCCCATCAACCCACATGACCTGTTTTTTGCGCACTAGCCTACAATAGCGTTGTTTTTACAAGCTGCGTAAATTATGTTCCACTACCGCTGTACTACGGCTTTGTCCACGTTAATTAGGTTACAAAATGGGTACGTGTTAATCTAGGTTAGTAATAGGTCGTGTTTCATAATATACTAGCTGCATGCAGCTACTTCGTCTGCTTTTTATGATCAAATATTAAAAAGAAAGGACGGACATACTCTATATAATACCGTTTTGGTGATATAATCTATCATGACAAATTTCATTAAGATTGATTTTCCGATTACGGGTACCACGTCATCATTTACGTTTTCGGTACTCTTATTTCATTGGAATAATGGACACGGGACCGGACAATCTAGTCCAAAACTAGACAACTTATACATATACTTTTTTTTTTGTAGTTGCGTATATAATATATATACAAATACCCATACCAATAAAAACAATCATACTCATGAATATAAAATATTTGTACCATGCCAAGAATCGAACCGGCGATCATCGGAGATAAGACGATGTGCAAAACTGCTTTACCACCGCGTCCTAAATACAAGTACCTATACAAACTTTCACGTTCATAGTAAAGATTAGTTATTAATATAAATTAAATTCCAATAAATTATAAATTCAACAATACATTCTAATTGAACAGAATTTTATATTAAACGCCTCGTTGTGGCTTAGTTGCTATATTAATTATAACATAGGTAATTTGAATTAGGTATATATAGTTATAAATTGTGCTTTGTCCTATCCTTTGCTGATTATAAATGTAGAAGCAATTGTACAAATTACATATGCCACGGTTTGAACTACTAATCACATAGACGTTATAGTAAGTCGTTACATTATTACAATTCTAAATATACATTGCAATTCACACTTATTTTTAATTAAGTGGTTAGATTAATTAAATCTATTACGCGATTTCATTATTAAATCAGTAATTGTAAACTACCTCCCAATCTAATTAGATCTATTTTTGTATGTTTTACAATAATATGTAGCTATAATATATTAGACGACAATGATGACGGCACAGTGGTTCTCAACAGGTGCGGACCCAACCAACAACAGAACCAACCAAAGTGTCTGTGTGTGCAACCAGAAGGGTCTGAAGTGAACCGCAGGGCCATTTTTCAATCAATCAATCAATCAATGAATTGAAATGAGCATTGAATATTTTTATATAGAACGTAAATTAAGGAGCCCTTATTCAATTATATATACACTAGCTATCCGCCTCACCTTCGCATGAGTGTAGATGTATTATACATATAAACCTTCCTCTTGAATCACTTTTTTATTGCTAAAAACTGCATTAAAATCCGTTGCGTAGTTTAAAAGATCTAAGCGTACAGACAGCGGAAGCGACTACATTTTATACTATATAAAGATTCTATATTTCAAAACAAATATGAGATAAGATACATGCCAAACTCATGAATACAAGCGTTAACTGCTAGACTACCGAGGCTATCAAATTATTTATACAGAATTTTCAATACAGAAGACCTTTATTTATTATTGTGCTAGATATAGACAATTATTATAGCGATATACAAGTATAAACTATATAATTTTTTATCCACGAAGTAGATAAAAAATTAGACAATGCAATCTAAGTCGGCACCTATCTTTTTTATCAACTGTGTAGATATAAGCGTTCGCGATTAAATAATTCTAATCATTAGTCTAAAATATTAATTTCTTTTGTTAACAGATAGCAGAAGCTGTTGACATCTGCAGTATCAACCAGCCACCAGGCGTATTTATTGTTGTCCCAGATCCACAAACCCCCTCCAAGATTGCTGCCACTATGGGTCGGAAAAAAATACAAATATCCCGAATCACGGATGAACGGAATCGACAGGTTAGTTAGTTTGTTTATTTGAATCATGACTAGGGCCTTCATAGGACACTACAAATTGAACAAATATAAGGCAAACCTAGGTCTGCTTTTTTCTGACTATTCTAATGCTGTTGACCGCTGCTGGCCTTTAGAGCTTCGCCGGATGATAGAGGGCGAGTGCAGATGGCACTCCGAATCCGCGGAATGACTTATGAAGCGGCTGAAGGCCACTCCCGCGCGATGGATACAACTTTAATCTGAGGGCACCGCTAAGGGTTCGGATCAGGGCGTCGTAATTTCGATCCTCGTTTGAATTGGACGGGGGATCGATCGGACTGTGCATAACAAAAATCTGCAGATTTTTACCAAACTGAAGAGCCAACGCCAGAACACATCCTATATGGTTGTAGCCTACTCAAGCATAAAGTTAATATTTTCTTTAGAATGTTTACACTCTATCCTGAGGAGATAAAAACCATCACTACGAATATCCTACAATTCTTGTCCCTGACGGGTCTAGGTAGCGAATTCAAAAAAAGGGCGAGCACAATAGATCTTGACTTATTTCCAAAAAACAGCAATATTCATAATATTAATACAAGATTTAAAGACAAACTTGCTGTCCCCAAGTATCGTTTAGAAAAAGTTAATAGGTCTTTTATGGGAATAGGTATAAAAATTTACAATAAGATACCAAAGGATATGTTGGAATTACCCTTAAATAAATTCAAAACATCTGTTAAATCATATTTACTGAGCAAAGCCTATTACTCACTAAACGATTACTTAAATGACGAGTGTGCATGGCAATAGTTGTTCATGCACTGAATTTTCATTTAATGTTGGACATAGACACCTATATAAATATACATTGTAAATAAACTGGCTTTTAAAAAAAAAAGTAATTCAATTGAGTTTCTTGCCAGTTCTTCTCAATTGGATCTATATACCGAACTGGACGGTAGGGAAAAAAATAAAATTATAATGTAAAAATTTGACGTTCATAAGCGGCTAAAATGTCCTACATGAATAAATGATTTTTGAATTTGAATTTGAATTTGATCTATGTAGGTCGCAATGCTACAGGTCCAAAAACCTGACAATAACCCAAACCTCCCAATAAAAAATAAATTGTTGGTTTATACAATACTAATCTTCAATGATAGCCATCTCCAATCGGAGATTGGCGATGATTATGGCAATCTTTACTTTATCCACGGCGGTCCTGAAAAGGGACCTGGTATGAGCACCAGGTTAACATTAACCACTGCCTGACGATTTTCAACCACGAAGTAAGCCTGGTCTTCGGCACAATATTAATATTATACATTAAATGCAGTATTGATAGAGATTAGATAGGTTGCATTTGTCAGGTTTCTTAGAATCTTGTGTTGCTTAGATGCAATAATCGTTATCACTGCGTCTGTGCATCACAGAGACAGATTTTTAAAGTCTGGAATGGCAGCACAGTACCATGGCCGTTACATGATAATGTATTGTTCATGTCTATAATCAACACTTTCAGTTTAATACGTAAAAAAATATAGTGAATTCGCTGCATTAATTGAAATAACAACCTAATTTTAAAATTAAAATTATTTTGTTAAAATTGAAATATTAAACAATGGGTAATTAAAGTAGAAAAAAGTAAATTCATGTAAAGTTCTCATATCTGATCTAGTGTTGTAAATTATAGACCACGTATATTATATTGTACTACCACACAGATATATATACAAATACAAGTATTTGAATATATCTCTGTTATTACGTTTAAGTAATTATATCAAAATGTAATTAAATTATTAACTGTAAAGTAGGTACGTGCCACCAAAAATAATATTATGATCGTGGTACTTCGTGAAATTGTTTTGAATGCTGATTAAACATTTTATAAGTAAATAGAGTCGATGCATGTGGAGACTTTAATACAAATTAACAACGAATACAAGGTTACGAATGAGTGAAATGACCTTAGTATGCGGTCTGACCCAACAGATGTGGCATATCAGCAGCTCCCACTGCAAAACATTATCGCGAAAGGACAACGACCGGTCTCGTTTGTAATTTATTAATTATACGATTACGCAGTATAGAACCCTTGTCCAGTTTAACCAGATCCTTTGTAGCACTATTAACTGCCCCTTGATAGAGTTGTAACCTTCAATATAGGGAGAATGAGGGGTATCAAACTTAAATGGTTGAACAATAGAACAGCCAGACAACTGAAATGAAAGTTGCGAAGGTCAATTTGTTTTAGTCAATTTTGTGAGTTCCTTGTTTGACAATGATTAAACTTTGATGCATAATGCTGAAATGAGAGACTTTCTGTACGTTGTTATACCAACTATTTAATATGAAATTACATGTCAAAATCATTTTATTAGAACCACACACACTTTGCTTGGTCTCAATAAAATGTGATATTAAAATTGTTAACATTTCCATATTTGAGGATAAAATATACATGTTCCATTATTGGTAGATACCACCTTTGTACTAAATCTCTCATGAATTTACATAAGTTGCATGATATCTTTCAGTTAGAAAAGTAAAATAATAATATAACATTAAAACTGGCGATCATAGCTGGATGACCATTCAAAAATGTTGGTTACACCAATCATTATAGTATTTGCTTTATATAACTCGCCAAATAAAACATACTACTAATTTTATATTACGCCGTCAACGCCAGAGAGCTATTAAATTTGACGCGTTATACATTGGTATAGGTAGTTACAATTATGATTCATGTAAAGCAGCGTTATTATATATCCCAAGGAACTGCAATGACTGTGCAGTACTATATACCCCATGACTGCATAGTTTATTTTATGTTATTAACCACCTATTGTTATCAATATTGGTTTATATCGCATGCTCCAATTTAAGCAGCAAATATTTTATATTTTTTGCTCTTAAGGAAAATAAGCCTAATCTAATAACCACAGAGGATATCAATATACATTTTAATACGGTATACAAGTGTAACGGACGTCATTGTAATGATACATATGAAATCTAATATATTCTAGTAAATAATATACATACAATATGCGTCCCATAACTTGATACTAATAATGTTGCTGAATTACTGTAACTAACACTGATTTCGTTTTATTTGTGTATTAAAAAAAATTGCGAATATCTCTAATTTTCTGGTACGCAAATTATTATGTCCTCTGTATAGAAATCGAATACTATATAAACTGACATTTATCTCAATTCTATACTATATAGAATTGAGATAAATGTCAGTTTATAAACATTTTAGTTTCCTATATTAACTACATTATGACATATAGAACCTTAAGAAAGATATGTATTTCTATGCTATTGTAAACCTCAAAATTCAAATTAGACATTAAAGTGTTCTTAACAATGAACTGTTTTAACGTTTAAAATAATTCTGTTTATCAGCAGGTGAAAAAGAAATACGCTAACAATCAATTAAAATGCAAAAAATGTTGTCTGACTGGTGACAGTATCACCAAGTCAAGTTTTTCTATAAAAATGTAGCTTATTAGGAACTTAATAATTACTTATTTTTATTTTTAGAGCAGTTATTTATATGTACAAATTTTTGACTGACGTACATTCGCCTACTCTGAAATATGGATTTTAACGGAATGTCAAATATCCATGGGCCCTATTAGAATATAATATTTACATTTTTAAGGATAATTCACACAGCATTATCTAGTCCCAAGCTAAGCAGAGGTTGTGCTATGGCTACTAAATAACTACTGCAAACAAATGTAAATTCATATATATTGTAAACGCAAACACATTACATACAGAAAACACCTAGACCGATATTTGTATCGGTCTAGGTGTTTTCTGTATGTAATAAAATAATTATATTCCTGAATACAAATGTTTGTGGCGCGCGAGGAATCGAACCCGCGACAATGGAAAGTAAGCCTATATGCTAAACCGCTACACAACCGAGGCCGTCAAATACAGATATTGAGTTATCACTAGTAATGTTTTATTTAATTACTTATAATTATTTTTTTAAATTTCAGGTGACTTTTAACAAACGCAAATTTGGTGTGATGAAAAAGGCTTACGAACTCAGCGTACTATGTGACTGCGAGATTGCTCTGATCATATTCAGTTCTAACAACAAACTCTACCAGTATGCTAGCACCGACATGGATAAGGTAAACACCTTCAACTATGACACTTTTATATATTTCATTAATAAATATTTGAACTGTAATACATTATTCAGATTTTTCATTATGCATTTTGATACCTGTTTTCTAGGTTCCTCACTGGATTGCCTTCTAATCACTTATTTCAAAGGACATAAATGTTTTAAATAGTATTTTCAACATTCTTTTACAAATACTCTAACCAAGAATTTACTACTAACTTATACATACTTTCTCTCGTTTTTTATCATTTTACATTAAAAGTCTAATATGAAGCAGATATATCTATTAATGATTTGTAACATTCTTAATATCTTATTTACTTACTCAAATATTATGTTAACTAACTAATATATTTATAAAAAAATCTCAGAAAATCAAATTTCTCAAATTCAAGTAATTGCTGCAATAAACTATTTATAATTGAACATGAATCAAACAGTAATGCTATAAATTGAGCATATTTATTATCATTATTACTTGAGTAATTTTTCAAAAGAACCAGTTTTATAACAATATGTAATTGAAAAATAATATATGAATAAATTTATAAATATGTATTGGTGGATCCAAACATTCATTTAATGAATAATAAACCTTTAGATAAATGTTATATAAATATAACAGGTTCATTACTTTATTTTATCATTACAATGGTTTATTTGTATTAACCTATATTGTTTCTTACATTGCAGGTGTTATTAAAGTACACGGAGTACAATGAGCCACACGAGTCGCTGACCAACCGCAACATCATCGAGGTACATGAAGTACGGCGTCATCTGTGTGCCCGTGATCGCAATGCAATGTCCATGCAAACTTGACTGATCCCATTAACCGAGTGCTTCCTACTCACCAAATAAACCCTAATGCCTTTATTTCTTACTAAAACACTCATTGGTAACATTGTTATCAATATAGATGTCGTATTATTCTAATTGATGATAGGCCTCACTTGTGCCGATCATAATTTTAGCAGCTACCTTACAGCATCAAATGTTCACAGTATCACATCGATTATAGTAAACATACAAGAATAGATAAACACAAACCTAATAAAGTGCAGCATGTTTATTTCCTGTTAGAAAAAAAGCGATACGAAACACCAGACACCCAGTTTTTATACTAACAGTTTATAGCTAGACACCCCCAATGTTTATGTTATTTTTCCTTGTACAGCATGGGTTTTGTAAATATTTTTGTGTTTATTTGAAGTAACCGCGCGTACCTGATTTCAATTTGTCTCGTAGGGTATAGTCAGAGTTGCATCATTGCATTCGACACTACACACAAATGTACGCTAAAAAGTTTCCTGAACAATTTTTATAGATCACGTTGTAGAATTAATTGAGTGCACTCTTTTTATTTTGGACCCTTCTTTACATACTTTCACGAATATAAGTTTTTTTCAATCAATAATTAAACTTAATCGGAGAGTTCAATGGTGTGTAGAAAGGGTACTAATATTAACTTATTGCATGCCAAAATTAAAACAGTAGTTATTTGATAATTTTGGCTCGTCAAGCCACCTGAGCTTGTTTCGCTGACACTTGCAGGCCCTAACGAAGAAAGAGCATAAGAACGGAGTGATGTCACCGGATAGTCCTGAAGCTGAAGCGGAATATAATCTAACACCACGAACTGAAGCCAAATATTCAAAAATTGATGAGGAATTCCAAATGATGATGCAAAGAAACCAGTTGAACGGAAGTCGAGTTGGTGTTGGCGTAGCTGGCAGTAATTATAACTTGCCAGTTAGCGTCCCAGTCGGAAGTTACGATCAATCATTGTTACAAGCTAGTCCACAAATGCATACCTCTATTAGTCCACGGCCATCTTCCTCGGAAACCGATTCAGGTAATTTAAAACATTATTTTCATTTCATTATTCGAATAGTAATAAATAAAACAAAATAAAGAAAATGTTATATGATGCAATTTAGAGAGGTAACAAAGGTAAAATGTTATATTTATATCTTTACTAGATGAAGATATAAAGTCATCTATCTCTATGTTAGAATATGGCAAATTTGCACCAAAATTTTATCTGCTTTATTATACTTCATTTCTATGCTCATTCCAATTCCACTTGTTGTAATAGTAGTTATTGCGTATAAGTATCGTAATTTATAATTTTCAGATTATAAATAATAATACAACAAGACTACTCAAAAACATCTGCACATCGTCTTTGCTTAACCTCTCTGTCTAGACTAATATCTGCCCTTAAACAGAATATTAATTGTTTTAGTTTGAAATTATAATTATTGGTTACAAAAGCAACATCTTAGACTTTGGTAATAGCAGCGCATCAATGTGATTTCCATAATGTCTTTGACATATTTACCATTACGAGCTGTAGGTTATAATATGGAATTAATGACATTAATTGAATTAATATGATTATTCCAGTATACCCAAGCGGCGGAATGCTCGAAATGTCTAACGGATACCCAGGATCTGGATCGCCTCTAGGCGCGGGCTGTACTCCGTCGCCATCTCCCGGACCATCGCCATCTCCTCACCGACACCCGCATAAACCCCACGCCCACGCACCGCCGCCACACCACTCTCCGCGACATAACAATTTACGTGTTGTCATACCCAGCTCGATGCCACCGCCACAAGACGATATATCATATACTGGAGAGGTACGTACTTTTCATCGTCATTTCAATTCAATTGTATAAATAAATACTATATAATATTTAAGGAATATATGATAAGGATGGAGGAAGGCCGAGAGATGGATGGACTCTGTAAATGATGATACGGTAAGAATCCCTTTTCGCAGTCATCTCGTTATTTACTCCCTTGTAAATACCTATTACATGTAAGTGAAATTCATATTATGCCGAACCTAAAAAAAATTAATAATGAATAAGCAAATGATGATGAAGTACCCTATAGACAGCGATAGCTGTATGTAACCCTAACAGGAACCATACTGATCTAAATGTACCAATTATAAACAACTGTTTTTATTTATTTATCTTTGAACATATATTACAAAGTTGATTATATATTGGATCCAGTACTAGGCGAAACTGTATACCGAGAGTGTCCAAAAGAATTGGCAGATATTATTAACTATAACAGATCAGTGAGTAGAGTAGATTTGACATATCATAGGAGCCTGCAATGGACCGAAACGAATGAAGACATTTTAATTTGATTTGTGACATTATGGAATACATAAAGTATTAAGTTTTCAGACAGATAAGTTTTCAGTCTCTAAGGTCCAAAGGTCTACTATATTGGGGCACTAACAATTCATTTAAAAAAAAATTACATATGAGATAGTAGTTCTATTTAAAAGTAGACCGCGTACGTTAGGTTGTGAAAGTAATTGTATATTGTTCACAAATACACGAATAATTATAGCATTTTTTAATTGTTGTCTGGAAAGAAACAAGGAAAGGGAGGAATTTCCAACAAGCCTATCTTGATGTAATTGTAATGAGGACCAGAAAAAAATGCGAACAGCATTTGTTTCTTATATTCTTTTACTGTATATCGAACCAATTAAAACAAATTATAATAAATAATATATTTTAGTACAGTAAATAGTACAAGATTAAAAGTCTAAACTGCATAACTATTTTACGATTGCAAAGTATTTCTCAATTAACTGTATGATTTCCTTTAGTATATTTTTTATTAAATACAGTAAATAACGAATTTTAGATGTAGGTAAAAAGTCATTTTCGAAGACTCTTCAGTTCTCGCCTAAACCTTTGCTAGCTGCTTGCTTTGCAAACAGTATTATGTACTCAAAAGTAAGATATAATAGTGAAATCAGAAAGTACAGAGGCATCATGTTAGTCAATAGAAATAGCCAGCCAAGGTGAATACGGAGAGCTTCATAATCTATATAGTGCTAAAGTAATTATCTGTCGATTACCACCAAAAACTAGGATATTTAAGTATAAAACCCTTTTTACTAAGTGCTTCTAAACATTTGTTTACAGACACCACTAGGCTACTCAGGACTCAGCAACTTCGGACCACAGGATTTCAGCATGAACTCGGACATGGGAATTGGACTATCATGGGGCGCACACCAATTGCAGACCTTACAACAACACAGCAGGTACATGTCTGTGCCCAATTTGAATTACTTATTTTCTCATAAAAATCATTAACCATCATCAGTATTTATTACGGATTGTAGAAAGAGTTACATAATTCTAAAATCTTTAACTAACTAAACCGTGTATAAATATTTTTTGTTCATTTTCATTTATGATTAAGTAAATTGTAAGTTCGTTAAAAATTTAAACTGTTGAGATTTTCGGAAGTATATATTTTATTTTTTAATTTATATAGGACAAAGGGCAGTTTTATTAATTTATTTTAAATAAATGAACAATAAAAAGTTCATTAACCTCGGACATTTGGATCATATTAGTTCTTTACTTGCGAGAAATAGATTGAATTTTATTTTGTATATTTTGTAGAAATAGATTGAATTATATTTAATATATATTTTTCAAAATATTATTAAAATGATCTTTTATCGCTATATAAATTGGACCCTGCTTAAACTAATTTTTGGACAGTCCGCTAGAAGCTAGCTCGAATCCAAATATGCTTGAATGGTACACAACTATTTAGTTTCCAAACACTTCTGTATATTTCTTCGTAGTGTTCTAATATCAAAATCAATGTAACTTTATATTATCATGTCTTATTGAGGTTGATTTTACAATTGCCAAATGTATCCAAACGCAAATAGTACTGCAAATAGTATAGTAATGGAATTTGAGAATGCTAGTTTACAAATGTATATACACAAATTATTCTATTCAAAATTTACTTTTCCTATTATACAAACTGAGTAATGGAGTCTAGATGTTTCGAATGACACTTTCCGGTCGATAACATTACCGAAAGAACGTTGCAAGCGTTCCGCACGACTTCACATCGTGCGTTATTGGAGACAAAAAAGGCAAATTACGTAATAACTACCTATTTAATTTCATGAGTTTTTTATAGTCAACAAAGTTTTTTATGTTGAAATAAAAAATACTAAGCAATTTGTCACATACTCCATTGGACTCAAAATAAAAAAGTAATTAAATTTCAATTAATTAGATATGCACTGAAGACAAGTACAGACATCACAACGTGGTTGACTTATATGAAAAATAGGTACGTCACTAGTAATTACTACACTTGGTATCGCAACTGCCATTTATATATTTATATATATAAACTTCTTCGACTGAAATACCATACACAATGCCTCTTTTTATTGTGTAATAATCCTATTTACTAATCTCCTAAATCGTTTGAGACCGTATGATTGATTGCCACCATAGTTGTGTAAAAAAAATCGCCATGACGGCCTCGGTGGTCTAGCGGTTTAGCACACCGCCTTACTTCCGATGGTTGCGGGTTCGATTCCTCGCACGGCACAAACATTTGTATTCATGAATGGTCAATGGTCAATTGTATTGAACAATTGTATTAGTCTGGGTATTTTCTATGTATGTATTTACGAAAAAAAATAGATTTACTTGTATCAGTTATCTAGTGCCCATAACACAAGCTTTAGCTAGCTTAACATGGGTTTACATGGCGCTGTGTTATTTGTCCTGAGATTATTATTATATTATTATTATTTGTTAATGACTAAGATATTATACTTAATTTCATTGCAATACAGTGTATAAAACAAGTTACTTAGTAGCAAGGGATGGTCTCGGTGATCTAGCGGTTTGTACACCGCTTTAGTTTCGATGGTCGCAGGTTCGATTCTATTCATACCACTTCACGTCGATATAGCTTCTGCTTTTGATTTTTTTTAAATTACGTTTTACATGAATAAAAATGTTTCAAAAATCATACAAAAGAGGAAGAATAGAATGTGTTAAAATATCATCACATTAGAAATATGGACAGAGTGTTCGTATTGTAAAAGGAGTATATCTCTACTACTGCCAAACGGTTTGGCAGTAAGTTTAAAATATAAATCAACATGTTATTAAATTTGTTATTCCTCAACAGTAGCAGCTTGCCAGTGCTCGGTGGCGGAGGGACACCGCCGCCGGCTGCGTCTCCTAGCAACGTGAAGATCAAAGCGGAGCCGGTGTCGCCGCCACGTGACCCGGGCCACATGCATCGCGCGCCGCCTCCCGCACCCGCGCCGCAGCCCGCGCACCTCTCAGGAGTCATTGATGGTACATTGTCCTATTATTATATTTTTTTTTAATATATGATAATGCGGTAATGATTTACGCTGGCGGGGCACCAGTGGAAGATAGGTTAAGCATGCGGTCAGGTTAGTTAACCCATTCTAGTAAATTCACCAGAAATTTATCATAACAGTTTCTAGGGGGCAACCGCGTGGAGAGCTAATGGAGAGCTATTATGTTAGTTTGTTAGCAATGGGATTACTATTCCCCTTTATAATCATTATCATTACATAGTATAAAATGATGTCGCTGTCGCTGTCTGTTCCTATGTATGCTTAAATCTTTAAAACTACGCAAAGAATTTTGAAGCTGTTTTTATAATAGATAGAGTGATTCGTGAGGAAGGTTTATATATATATTACATATACAGCCGGGCGAAGCTGGGGCGAGTAGTTAGTTTCCTTACCCTTCTTCATACCTTTTTGTATTATGGGCAGCTTCGTTTTATTAGTAGCCTTAATTAAGTACATAAATTACAGAATATACTTATAATAGCTAAAATTATAATATCTGTTACTGATAATTGATTGCTGTTAGCAGCAACTTCATCTGGTTAAAATTTCATCCTTTATTTCAACCCTTCCCATTTTTTTTATCTATGTTAAGACAAAATGTATTTTATCTTAACATAGATTACGAGGATGTTGCCTATATCTATAAATATTAATTCCTGTCAAATTTTATTAACATCCGTTTAGCCGTGAAAAGTTACCAAACAAAAAGACCGATATACTATCGTATTTATAATATTGATATGGATCCTTCCTATTAACAGGTATGTATGATATTTATTGTATTCACTACAATATAAGACTCAACATTACTGGTAAAGCTTATCGCTGGCTGTTAATGTCAGTGACCCATGCTGACACATGACCCCCTCGTCAGCGTTACTCATCGTGAGATAGGAATTCACTCAATATTTACATCCCTCAGATATAGCATGCGCACATAAAACTATATAAAAAACAATAACAGGCACGCAACTGAATTATCTTAGATTTTTATTCTAACTCTTACATTTTTACCATAATTATTACTTGAAATATTCGATTTCTGTAGTTTTATTATATGTTTATGACAGCGCTAAAACTTAAATCTACTAATATTATAAATGCCAAAGACGCAGGTGATATAATATAATTAAACTAGTTAGAAAAAATATAAACAAGTGAAATAACTACTGTATTGATAGGAATGTAATAATAATGCCTGATAAGTCGTGTATTACAGACATCAAACATTCATAATTGATTTATACCTAATACCATTGATTTAAACCGTTTATAATTATTATATATTTATTAACAAAATATGAGTAATCAATATTTATATAAATATTAATAATATACTTTTCTTAAGAAAACTATTAATTTGATCCTTACTGGTAATTCTAAATTGAAATTGTTATATATTGCAGGTTCGATATCGTCCAGTAACATGGGCTCTCCGGCCGGACAAGACATGAGACATGCTAACACCGTCCCCCTAGACTACGAGCAGCCCCATACAAAACGGCCGCGGATCGAGGGCTGGGCCACATAGCTAGGCTATGAGGCCTTCGGATCCTACCCGAGGCCCCTCCATCCGCACTGCTAAACCCGACCCTGGCGGAGCGGCTCCAAGGTTCAAAAACCTATGACTCGCAGCTGCAAAATCCTATCGAGCTTCGGTAGACCGTCCTGCGTTGGATATCAACCATGTTCTTTCCTCGATGGTGCTGCATTAACAAACCGTGACAGTGCTAGAATTTTCGATCAAAAGTCTGAAAAGGAAAGGTGCATTGAAGGTGCTTTAAATTTTGATGGCACGGTCAACTTTTTACGCATACGCGTACATCTCATCTCGAGAATGAACTGTCCTTTTGTGTAAGGATACAATTAGACTAAAAATATTTAAATCCTTTTGATGATTTCTAATGAAATCAATGTTATAACAAAAATGAATGTTCAAGTTTACACTACCCTTCTATTATACGTAATGAATATTATTATAATTGCACATGCAAGTACACTAAACGTTAAGGATAAATGTTTAATCTAAGTACAACATTACTGAATAGATGCAACCCTGATCAATTTTCAACTGTAAGTACGTATAGATAGATTTGTAATTCCCCTGTATATAGATGACATTACATGTGCAATCCGTGCCATTGTCTGTTTAGCTTAAAAGTTAGTCAATTTAAATTTAGTGACTATAATAGTAGAAATGCACTAGGGTCCCAGAGGTTCAGTGGGCAAAGGAAGCAGCCGGACGGTGTTGTGTAGTGCGAAGAACAAACTATAAAAAGTGTGTTAAGTGCGTTTATGACTTAAAAACGACTGTTGACTTTTGTGTTAGTGTTTTAAAGTTCTTTTGTGCCATTTTAAAAGTATAATAATAGTGTGACATCCGAACTTGAATCTTTGTAAATTTAGTAAGTGTAGTTTCATCACAGAAGATAATAAAGTTATGTATTATAAATCTACATTATCTATTGACATATTTATACACGAGAATCATATATAATATTTACATAATATGTATACACGTCCCGTTAGGAACGAATGTTAAGTAAGTAAGTAGGTAATGTTAGCTAGAGTTGAGTATATTAAAGTACCACACGAAGCTTTAAAATTTCTTATGATAACACTCGCACTCTAAGCAGACTTGTAAGTAATGCAACACAGACAATTAATGTATCGTAATGATTGTAGAGCTCCTGCCAACAATCTCCTCTGACCAATGTTGTCTCTGGAATTTAGGAAAGCAAGCAAATGTTAGTTTACGAAGCACTGCTGTTGATTAATATCGTAAATGATTTTATTTTTTAGATATTTATAATTGCAGTAACTCGTATTGCACTGAATTATACAAAGGATGCTTTTTAAAATAATTATAAAGATACAATCTATATGGTTTCCTGTATATTAGTCCCTGACTCTTTCCAGATTACGTAAGAGTATCTGTAATTGTTAGATGTTGCGATTTATGTGTCTTGTGACTATAATGGATTATTAAGGGATAGCAAGCTTGTTGATAAATTATTACTTTTTATTTTGTTAGTGTGATCTGAAGACATTGAATTTTCTTTTAAATTCAACAATAAAATATATTCACCGAACGGTGTACAATATTTTACCTACAAATAAGCAAACTCAGCTTTAAGTGCACCTACTATAAATATATTATTATCGTACCTATTTTGGTATAGCACTATATCACAATCCGCCCTATTTTTAGATGATATTGTCTGGTTACATTGAAAGTGGTCATTATAATCTTTGCCACTGGTAATACATGTCCAATAGCTAATGATGACTTTAAAATGTAACCATAATTATGTGTATAAATACATTATTGTAATTAATCAGAAGTTCTCTCGATGTTACATAGTAACACTAACTTCCCTTAGTTCCACTCTGTCCCCTTATATCTTCTCACTGTAGATGCCTTACTCACAGTGCCTAAATGTACCATTTTGTACCAAATTTGTATAATACGATAGTATTTTTGCTTTACTATTTTTTCACATCCTAATAAGTTTAAGTCTTTAAGAGATGTTAAATTGTTATGACCGTAGTATTTGGTGACACTAAAACCAACTGTATCTATTAATAGATAACTTTTATAACCTAAAGCATAGGTAGTGTCACAGCGATCAATTTATAACTATACCACGTTTTGGAAGCAGTCAAACTGTTTATAGAATACTTGTAACTTGTAAACTTGTGATTCGTAACTATTAAATGTAACATTAAGTAAAAAGTTTGCAAAAATAGATATAAAAAAATAATCATTAGATTAATCCTTCAAATCACAGTAACAAAATGTTAATGTATGATTGTTAAATATGTACAGGGAATTACCAGTTTTGATGTTCAAAAGTCTGAACGCATATAAAAAATGTATTTTCGCATTGTATAATAAGTACACGATTAGTTTTAATACGAATTAATATTTTAATACCGAAGCATAATTAATGTTGACCCGTTTAGGGAACTATATAAATTCATGTAAGTACACATTAAATGTTAGAGTAAATTGTTAATGTGATATAATTACATACACTGTTAAGATCCTTATATTTGAGATTCTATGATTGCGTTACTTGAAATGATTTCTCGGTCGTTCGTTCCTAATAGTTCATTTACCAGACGTTGTGTACTTTCTATTAGAATTTGCTCAATCGTGTTTGTTTGGCGATATGTAGCATTGTCATAACGTCTTGCTTGTTATCAAAACTTCTTTTAAGATTATATGTCTATTAATTGTGAATGTTATTACAATCTCAAATTCCCTGTCAGGTGTATAGATTATTGATTCCGTAGTACAAGTGTCCAATTGTTAATATTGTACAGGTTATATGAGTCATGTTATTGTTACCGATACCTATCACTTTGTCTCAAGCACCTATCGAATGTTAATTATTCCAGAATAATAAATAAATGATTTGCACAAAACCAAAATGTTTATGGGAAATGGATGGAGTTTGTATAATGTAAAATAATTGTCTAGTACTTCAAATATACGAGTATGTGTTTACATGTTTACTCTAATAGATAATAACGTTTGAAGTACTTCAAGTATTTTGTCGCGTGCACATGATATTCTATCGACTTAACTTGTATAAAATACTTCAACCGTAAGCTGGTATTGGGAGCATAATTTCCGAGGTTGTGAATTTTACTATCGGGAATGAGTTCACGTTAAAATAATTATTAATATTTAATGTACTATTTCATTTCGGCGCACAACTGTGTTGTGTGTTCTTGTAAAAATAGTTTGCTTGATTTGTTTTGTAGATGTACCTACTTTTGTGTATGTTTTATCTGTATTTATACCGCTGTGTGCCAATAGCAAATTGTTGTTCTTTATCAGTTTAACTTATTACCTTTAGAATGAGTAATTCATTGCATTTAATGAAAAATATGTAGATTTAAGTATAAAATATTGGAAATCAGTGTCTGATTTCATCACATTAGTTGTTATGTGCTCTGTTTCTCATATTTTGCTATTGTTTCACAGCCCAATGTGAACAACCCAAATAGTATATAGGTATATAAATACATATCCTTATTAAATACTCAAGTCGATTTCACTCTTATTTCTGTCGTAACATCATCAGTTGTGCAATACATATATAACAAAATGCTTAGGTAGGTATTAGGTATATTTTCGTTTGAATTTACAAAGAATGCGAAATCTGTTGTATTTTATTGATATTTTTACTGATAATGTGAGAGGTACCAACTATATTTTGTAGGTGCCTCTTGGGAATTTAAGTCATAATGTATAATTATTTTTAAGCTAAGGCCGGGCCAAATATTGCATTAATTTAGGTCTCACGGCGCCTGTTTCTGTGTCGAGGCAGCCAATTCTGCCCTGTGTATAAATTGTACGAAGAATGTAAACATCTCAGTGGCCGAATGAATATTAATGTTTATCGACAGTGTTAGAAAAATTGTTATAAATTATTTTGATGACTGTTCGAAGGATAATAAAGAGTTGGATGTCATTTTGTTTTCATTTTGTCTAATATTAGACGACCTTAATTTTTTTTTAATGTTTTGTTCTCTATAAAACAAAAGCAATAGATTCCGTTATTCTATACTAGGACTAATTAGTAATGGTTATCATGTTTAATTATGATGACCTGATGATATTCATTATATACTTACTGCTATTCTGAAAGGTTGGTAAATAGAAATACTTCGACAGTTCAGCAGTTGTAGCAAAGAAAAGCTTACATTATAGAATTATTGTCGTTTTTACATCAAAAATATCATTACTAAATCAAATCTAAATATAGGCACAGGCGGGTAGGGGATTGTTAGTAAAGAGAGTAGTAGCCCCATTGCTAGCAATACACCATGTCAGGGCCACCTCCAAGCAGCCCCCTTGAAACCATCGTGATGAATTTCTGATAAATTCGTCACTATAGACAAACTGATCTGATCTGATGCCCATCCTATAATCCTTCACTGGTGCACTACCAGCGTATACTGTTAGCGCAGACGTATCGTAACATCATTCCATTATCATCGCTACAAAACATATGCTTAATACAGATCAAAAAGTATCTACTGCGTGTTTTTGTCTCAAAATAGGATATAATAGAATTGTATGTTATAATGAAAATGTATCCCTGCAGGAGGTATATATAAAGAGAAATCTTAACCTTCAGATAAACCAAATAAATAATTGTTCTCGCAAAATGATAAGGTAAAATTAATTAGAAATAAAAAAATATTACATATTTATTAATCATGACTACTTGTAAAACTTGTGGCAGATTGTAAATCTAAATATTTTGATATTACTACTTGACTCGATCACCAAATGCTCCCTTAGACGCAGTCGGTTCTCTTGAGTCGTCCATCAACTCTATCGTATCCCCCCGTACAATAATTCTTCTTTTCATGTCTTTCTCAAATATCTCTCGTACTTCTTTGTCCAAGTCAACTGAACTAGACCTTCTCGAGTCAAATTTTTCAACATCAAAATTCTCGTGTACCGTAATACTTTCTTGCGTTACATTAATTATTTGACCGTCTAACGTATTCCTAGATTCAGCACTATAAGGTCTTGGATCAATATTCAGTTTGTCACAATCAGCATCATAAACAATATTTTCTTCAGTTTTGATATCTGATTTCGGAGTGGTTATCAGTTTTTCTTGCGAGTTGGTACCTTCTGGCTTTCTTCTTAAACGGCAATATCGTGTGATACCACCCATCCATTCCGACATTAACGCTGCAGCTGCTAAGAGAAATCCAGCTGCTAGCAGCAAAAACATGCCCTGAGTGTCCTCCAATGTTAAACCCTTTTCTTCTGCTGATGTAATTGTCAAAGACCCAGAACCAGCCTGTATCGAAATAGAAGACTTAATTTAATAGCATTCTCCAATATCTGATTACTAAACTTTGCTTAGTTGGTAGGCACTTGTTTCTACCCCTAAGAAATTTTGCTATCGTTAAACATATTTTCAGACCTCCATGTGGTGCCCCTAGAAGCTATTGTGATAAATTCCTGGTGAGTTTGTCCAGATGCTAACTGCTCATGTTCATCTTATCATTCTCCACTAGTGCCCCGCCAGCGTAAACCGTTAGCGCAAGAGAGTACATCATTCCACAATCGTTCATAAAAATAAAACATATTTTCAACACTCTCACTCACTCTAAGATGTCATTCGTTTCGTCAAACGTTGTATTTGTAATTTAAAATATACACTTATATACATTCTTATATGTGTCGATTTTAACATACGTTATTTATGTATGTATATTGTACGTTATATTAAGTGTTTAATTCGTTTTTTTATAGCTATAGCTATAGCTGTTTAGTCAGATTTAGTTAGTGTGTTTTTTAAATAGACTATTCAAGTATCTAAATTAAGTAAAAACTTTGCTGTACCCACCTACCAGTAAAACATATTTTTAAGTAGTCTCTAAAACTCTTAGATTATGTAGGTATACTTTCACCATGATCATCTAAATATGGACCTTGTTATGATTTCTTTCAATTTCCATAGAATTTTTTAGATGTGTGTTACAATTCTAATATGTACCACAAGTAATTACCGATAAAAGTTTTCCTGTAGAACTACGTTGCATTTCCCAACGAACGTCACTTGTTATTTTGTCTACAATACCGTTTTGATAGATTCTTCTTAAACCGTCATTAAATTTTTGTGAATACAAAGAATTATTTGGAAAACCTATAGAGACTCCAAAAGGTACAAAGCATTCATTAGATATGTGAAGAACACTCCTTTTTGAGCTAAAAACAGTGAAAAGAAATTTTAAAATACCATAGAAAAATATTTGTGATAAAGAGATATGAATGATTGTAGTGCAATGAGCGAGAATCCTTGAATAATAATTATGATTGTAATATAACATATGAAAATGACAATATATGCAATGTCTTGATAATCAATCAATGCAATGATATCTGATAAAAACCAACTTACGAAGTTTTCGTAAAATTTGCTTGTACAATATACTCTAGTTGAGCCCGAGACCCCAAAAAAGCATATGGCCAAAAGAAGGCCTTTGTTGTGTTCCTAATACCTGATTCAACATTAGGTACAAGTTCTATTTTCCTGAAGAGCTTATTCGTTTTCGGATCCGATGAATTAGAAAACCATTTCTCCCAACCTCCACGATCTACATGATTAAAAGAAATATTGAATGGAACTAATTTTATATTAGTAATAAAATAAATGTAATATAAGATAATAACTTGCCTAATGTACCAACTCGATAAAATCCTGACAGTAGTTGATCAATTGTATCAATTGTTTCAGGAAATACAGGTAATGTCACAAATGCTATTATGCATCCCGTATAACAGCTTGTGATAATAATTGTGAAAATCCAGTACCATCCTAAAAATGTTTTTATTTATTAATTTATGTCAATTATTTACTTGCTTTAAATAAGCGATATTACAATATTTTCTATACATAGTTATACCTATTAACAGCCTGGTTGTAACTTTTGTCGTTTTGCTCCATGAATTCTTCCCGACAAATGTGAAACAATTCGTAAAAGTACCAAAGACGTACCAAAACATATTCTCAACTTCTCCACTATTGTGGACTAAATGACGGAGTGTATGTTTATCAGAAAATGCTAGTGGAAAAATGCCAATTAGGTATGTAAAGGTAAGAGCCACCCATACGTGCCAATGAAACGGGCCTAGAATTGCGCGATATCTATAAAAAATACGTTACTTTTAGTAACATTAAAGTCGTTATATAGGTACAAGAATTATGCTTTGAAAAATAAGTGGGGTAATTTGCAACCTTGGTAAAGCAGTAGACATCAAAGTGATAAAAGCAGCGCAGTCATGTGAATGACTGAATGCCATATCCATGTCGCGAGTCCTTTCGTATGTCAAATACATTCCACCTAATGCAATATCGGCGCGACTCATCGTTATCTCTCTAGATACAGCATCTCCTGGACTTAAAATAAAATGTAACGTAATTAAAATCACTCAAGAATTATTATTTAAAAAAATATTTTTTAAGATATTTTTGTATCATTACCCTAAATGTGGCTCTCGGGGTTCTACTATTTCAATGGAGAAATTATTTTTCTCTGCTAACAAATTCAGGACTCTAATTTCTATTCCATCCCATACCACTCGAGGATTTCCACCATCTACATCTGTTTTTATCCTGGAAATGTATACCTTTGTTTTAATTACGTAATTTTATTTTGTATTTATTATTTCAGTTTAAAAATGTTACCTTCTAAACACGTAAGGGGGTTGATTAGCAGCTGCAACAAGAAATCTATGCCCGGCATAACCTTTCATCATTTTTTTAGGAAATAGATTGACGTGCCTTGAAAATTTTCCATGTGTCCATGAATTAAGAACTACCGGTTTACTTGCACCCAATCCATCAATATATAACTCATGAGTATATAATATGTACGGTGCTTCCTGAATATATAAAAGCAAATTATTACAAATTACCTGCTATCAAACATTTACTTTATTTATTTTTTACTTACTCTAGTTTCGTCTTCATCATCTTTAAAACTTTGACCGATGACAAGCAAATTTATAAACATCCTTGATAATGCATTGGAAAGAAACTCTTGAACTGCCCATTGAGAGGACCTCGCCACAACGAGTATTTTGTTTTCTGATCGTTTACCCAAAATTTTTGCAGCTAATGTAACATCAGTTAAAAATAAAATAAAATGAAGACACTCCTTTACATTCAACAGAAGATTTGGTTCTTTTAACTGATTGTTGTCATTTATATAACCATGTACATAAGTAACTGGAAAATCTTTAAGAAGATCTTGAAACAGGTAACTGTCTTGCGATCTCACTTTGTTATCATATAATAAAACCGGTGTACAGTCGTTCAGATAAGTCACAGTAATATTATGGATGAGAGTTATAAGAGACGGTGTCTGGTCAAAGGCATTGTTCTTTTTAATAAAATTTTCATGCCACATTTCTTCAATAGTCTTCGGATGTCCATAAAATACAGGGTCTGTAGCTCTTTTTATTCTATCTTCTGTATTCAGTTTATTTTTTAATTCAGGGTAATAACGCCTTATGGATATATTCCGATTTTGTAAATACTTTCCACGATTAGATTTATCGAATCTGTTGTTTGGCAATTTATGTTGATTAAAACTAGTAGAACGTTCTAATTTCTCCTTTAAATTATTTACAATTGATTTTGATGCATAATATTCAATTTCTTGGGATTGTGCTAATGTATAGTAGATAATAGTTAGAGCAATATATTTGAAACTTTCCATTATAAGAGAGTGTTGTTGCCTCTTGTATGAAAAAGTTGGTAGTGCCAATATGATTTGTCATATGGCTTTTTATAGTTTCTATGGACCTTGATCTATGAAATATCAAGTGTCGTACGCCCGGCAGGTGTTGTGATTGTAATTTAATTTTTGATGACTTTCGTGGCTTAACCAAGACCCGAAATTTTCTATTTATTCGTTGCTGCAACATTGATGTGAAGTAGATAACAAAAGAATAAAACAACAGTATGTTTATAATATTTTATTTCTTAGCACTGGTCATATCTCATAATTCTTGTACATATAAAAAAAATATATAAAAACTGTCCAGACTCAATTTATAATAAGTATCAGTGCTAATATGCTATGTCCGATGTACTTTGAAATCAAAAGTCATATTGATATAACCATGTCCAATATAAAAAAGTGAAACTACCAATTTTAAATATTAACCTAATATTTACAATAATAGGACCTATAAATAATGCATCATTTAGATAAATAGATTCGTCGCAAGCGCTTCCAATGACTTTAGTTGCAATAGCACACCAAAGTTTTCTAATCTAATCATTTAAATATAGTAAATTTGCCGATCGAGTCAATATTTTACTGATCAAGGACAAACGACAAAGTCACAAAGATACTTCTTTTCTTTTTGACAAGTACCTAGAAATTATTGAGTCACATAGACATGTGCTACATCACTAAGTCAACGATGTGAACAGACGTCTAGGTAACGCTACACGGTAATTTTAAATCATCAACATAATTTTCTTGTCATTTCTTGTTCCAGCAAATACATTTTGCAATAAAATAATAATGGTGATAGTTTTTATTGGTATACCATAAGAACAATAAGTAATTGTTCTTAGCATTTACCGCAATTGAAACTTATTACAGACAATTAAACACTAATACTAATTCTATATTTACAAATAATAAAAGGCAGTGACAACCGCGAAGCTGGCAAGATTAGAAAAAAATATTTTCTAAATTTTAATATGGCTTCCGTTAAAATTATTGAAATGATTTTTAGACATGACTACAATTCTTGGCTTGAAATATTGTCTAATTACTAAAGCGAAAATACTGAAGGCTATTGTGAAATTTCATTTGCTTTTCTATTTTACTAGTGATACTTTTTTTTATTAATTATAGAGTATTATAAAAGTGTAACTACGAAAGAACACAAAATAGGATAAAACTACTGAGAAGTGTACTACGTAAAATAGTAAACATTAATTTATGCAATAAAATTAATAATATTGACAAATTCTTCACACTACACGATTGAAAACACTTAATATCACAGTTTCCAATACAATGGAACACAACATGAAGAATAAATTGAAGAATTCCGTTCGAACTCGCAAACTTCAATGAAATTGTTTAAATTTTTATATCAAGTCTTGCTTTGTGACCATCGAAATCTAAATGGCACTCAGTAATTGGTGACAAAACAATTTCTACTGTGTACAAATTTACAAATTAATGATCCCTGACTTTAGGCTTTTTATCTCTATAGGATAGGATCATTACAAAAGACAAATTTATTTTCTACTTTATCATTTCATGGAAATTTAATTTATTCTCCATTGTCGTTATCAATACGTGACGATCTGATGCCAGTTTTACCGGTCCACGGGTAGATCTCAGGACATGGTTGACAAGTTCTCATGTATCTTACTCCAGACTTGTGCCACAGGTTGCAGACTTTCGGATTGTTGCACTTTTTCGGCCGATCCTGTAAAATATTTTTATATTTACTTCACTATGTCCTTTAATTATGTAAGTTGTTCTCTTAATTGCTCTACTGTTTTTATATTTTATGCCATTTACTACACATATATATTTAATTCGTATGTAACAATAAAAATCTGCTTAATAACAAAACTTATACCTATAAAAGAATTGTAAGACAGAACTTCCTCGTGTGACGCTGCCATTTATTAAGGAAGAATTCTTGGAAATTCCCAAAAATCAGGAAATAAAACAATTTCGGTACAGGCAAACCGCAGTGTTCTTTTTTTAAATATATCTCATAAGTATATTCCCAGATAGGGCAAATAAAAGTGCTGTCAGCTATTAATAATATTGTGACCATAACATCTGTTATGCTCACATTCTATTGAGCATACACCGCTTGGATTAATTCAATTATTACCAGTGTTTTCTATCATCATAGAGTTCAGGTTCAAATTCAAGAAATTTAAATTGTCTCGTACTTGTACTGTATGAGGAATCAAATGCCCGATCATTTTAAGAAAAGCAGTAATCTAAACCGCTTAACCACCGAGACTGCCAGATAAAACCTCCCTATTATACTTTGTAGAGCCATATAATAAAGTTATAATGTTGTAACTAAAGATTTTTGGTACCCACCTGATAATTACACTGGAAAGGTTGGAAGTTATTAAGTCTAGAGATCGGCGTTGGGTCCCTCACCCATTGTAGTGCTTGCCAGTTGGTAACTATCCAAACGTCTTGCATCTGGTTAATGAAGTCCAGGAACATTATGAAACCTTCTTTATGGTGGGGTTGTGTGAACCAAGCAGCGTGGTAGAACAAACCAAATGGAGCTCTAAAAAACACGATTAACAAATAAAGGTACATACGGGGTAGCCACTTAGAACCAAATCAATAGATTCCGTCAACCTTAAACAATATTGTGCATATAAAATAACATATACATAAATCTTACATTATTACCATAGATATTGTAACCACACAGTATATATCTGTATTATATATTATATGTTGTGTTACCAACCAATGAAGATAAATTATTAGATAAGTGTAAGTTGAAATTTTAGAATCATAGCATTTGTTTCTTTCACAGCTTTAATCAACTATTGGTATATTTGTTCCAGTCACACTTTATACATCTCTTGTTCTAAAATTTATCCATAATTATACCTACCTATTTGTTGTATAGTGCCTATCAAAGTTCTTCAATATCATTTTATAAACTCCTTCTGCGTCAGGAGGATTTGCACACGCGTCTCCCATTGAGCATCTTCCTCCATTTAAATCTTGCCACATCACCATAGGAACCTCCCAGACACCTAATATAACAAAGTAGAAAGTTTGTATATACATATATTTAAACAATAAATTCATATTAAAAAATAAAAATAGAACTTACCTGGATATGATTTCGTTGGACATGGTGGAATCATGCAATCGTGGAATAATTTATAATCCAGGGTGTATGGCCAGCTAGGTGGTCTGTTTTCATAAACAGGCATAGAGGAGTCATAAGTGAAGTTTGAGTCATACAACATTTTAAACATTTTATTACCACCAACTGAGAGGAAAGGTGCTCTCATACCTCTCACATCCTCTAATTTTACACCACCATAAGCCGCCAAAATTTCTCTCTGACCACCCACTTCTCTATTCCATTTCTTTTGGGAGAATTGTTCTCCAAAACTATGGCTGAAAATGTATATAAATAAATTGTCAATTAAAGTTTTTAGAAAATAAATAGACATAACTCAAACTAAAAATTTATAGTAGATAATTAGTATTAGACAATCAATAAGAACTTAGTTTCCGTCCAGAAATAATTAATAATAGGAAAGACATAGAAAATGATAAGGATATATATCTTGTTAAAATTATACTATAACCTCATCCTATTATGGGTAAAAATAGACAGCTTGTATAGAACTAAATTTTACATAGACTTACGAAATCGTGTGTGAAGCCATCTCGTGTCCAGCAGCGTACAAGTTTTGCACTTGACTGTAATCGGTCCATTCATGGGAAACGTAAAATGTGGCGCTGATTGGACAACCGTTAGGATTGACACGGCCTTTCTCAAATAAGTCACTATATAGACCCTTATTCAAATCGTTCACGGAGTCATCAAATGTTAGTAGAACGATTTGTGGTACAGTCTCCATCGGCATATCGCCTGTTTTGTTACAGGATAGTGGTCATGATCGTGCAATTGATGTTGGTAATACCCAAGTAGTGCCAGGAGAGGGATAAGAATAAATAGGCCCAAGGGTAAGAAGGAAGAGAAAAAAAACATATTAATATTTTAAAATCCAAAGAAAAAGTGATATATATATATATCTAAATTACATAGATGGCCAAGAATATAATGTTAGTGGCATACTTGTTAAATAATTATTGAAGGATACAACAGATCGAATCCAAATGGTAGATCTACAACGAAATGACTTACGATATAGTATGCGAGCCCAATTCGTGACCATCTGCATATAAATTTTGTACTTGACTATAATCTGTCCACTCATGTGAAATGTAAAAAGTAGCAGATATAGGGCACCCATTGGGGTTAGCTCGCCCATTTTCAAAAAGTTCTTGATAGTAATTTTTATTCAAATCATTTACAGCATCGTCGAAAGTCATCAATACTATTTGAGGTACCTCTTCAATAGGTAATTTACCTATCAGTAAAATCATACATAGTCAAAAATAATTTGCATATTAGATGATAGTATATCATTACAAGCATTTCAATAAATTTCTAATTTTGTTCCTTGTTAATTATAACCAAACTTTACCTGGTATTTCTTTTCCACCGCAATAGCAGTCAGGCAGCAAACAAACATCTTTCCTACATTTAGCTGCTGTTTTGTCCGGAGTTGGTTGTGGATAGACCGGTGCTGGTCTACTTGGTGGATGAAGGTATACATCTACAAATTCTGTGCTCTTTGATACGATTGCCGTAGATGGTTTGAGAGTTGGTCGACTGCGACTGCTCAGAAATATTTTTTATAAATTCAAAATTTTACAAAGCAATATAATAAATAACAATTGATCAACAAATTCTTTGCAAAAAGCACTTTAATAATTTACACGGTAAGGTAAATCATATTATATGCATATGAGATATGTATACATGTACAGTAAATTTTGATACAGATTTAGCTAAAAAGCGTGATTCAATAAATATTATTATTTCTAACGTTGGAGGTGTTCCTCGGTTTGGAACTGGTTGAGGTACATCCGACCCAGTAGAGTAGTGAGCAGAACCACGACCACGTGTACTGCTTGGCCTGTAAAATATAAATCCTCTAGTAAAGAGTTCGATAATGTTAATATAGTTAGTACGCGTGAAATCCGAGAAAAGCATGATTTTCAATCTGAAATTATAAAAGGATAAATATAATTTTCTTGTATATTATTTGTAATAATAAATTAATATAATAATTTATTTATTATAACAAAAGTGATTATAATATAATAACATGCATTTTGTATATGATACATATAAGTGTACAAAATATAATAATTATAACATATCTAATAATAGTGAAGTGCACTTACAGACTACATGATGATTGCAATGGTTGGTGCATATAAATATTATATTACAGTTGATATAACATTGAGGAACTTTCTAACAATAATCTTGAATAAATATGATTATTAAAAAATACAAATAATTGATGATTTTAATGAAGATTTACACTAAATAGTAGAAATACTGCCAATTGAGTGCAGGAAATGGAAATGGTCACGTCAGGAGTTAACAATACACTAATCAACTCAAGCGACTGGAAGTCCCCCAATGAGAAAAGTAAAGCGACAGGTTTGAGCGATATGTGCTATTAGACGGTAATTCCATAAATATTTCATGCTAGTTACTTCGCGAGGCGGAAAATAAGAATATCGTAGACCAAGCCTCCACCTTCGTTAAATAGACATATGTGAGACAGTCAGGCTTAGACAACTGGCCGGCGAGTAATATACCTCTGATATTTGATTTCGTTGCATTTTGGATTCGCTTGCAGACCGTTGTCTGATGAACATTTGGTCGTTGATTGGTAACTCCTGCGCCCACCTCCAGGGTTTGTCGCAGCTAACTTTATGGCGGGATTGACTCGTGAAGCTCGTGTCGGAAAGGATATACTTTTCGTTGCAGTCAATGAGTCTACCTTCACAGTCGATGTCGATTTAGTTGTACTTGTAGTAGACACAATGTCATTAAACATTCTACTTGTATATTCAACACCAGTTTTTGTCGGTATAGTCGGTTCAGTATCGTGGATATCGCTTTCAATGGAAGCTTCTTTGATTCCAATGGAAGCTTGTTTTCTTATATTTTTTTGTAATTTATTTAAATTTTCCACTTCAGATTCTTTGTTTTCAATCAAGCCCTTAAATTTAGATTCGTACGTCTGTCTATTTGGTATAAATCTAAACTCGTTTGTAGTCGAACTTTCTACCATAAACGCTGGTGTAGGTTTATTTGTAATTTGTTGTGGTGTTTTTACAGTTGATAATGTATAGTCGCTATCATGCTGAACCAGTTCAGTAAAGTTCATCGTTTCATCATTTTTAGAGATCATAACTGGTTCTACAACTTTCAAACGTTTTAAATTATTGTTTACTAATTTATCATTAATAAATTTTGGAGTATTTTTTTTATTACCTATATTAATTACTTCTTCTGTTATTGAAATTGGAGTTACAGCTACAGTACTAGAACCATCATATTCATGTATTGGTGTAGAAGTAACAAAATTATTAAAAAAGGCTTTAATAACATTTCTTACTTTACCACTAAACACTTCTGTAGTTTGGTCAGATATGTCATCGTCTAATACCCGATAACTATAATAAGATGGCTTATGTAATTTCGAAAGTGTAGGAGGTACAGAAGATGTGGAAGTAGAAGTAGAAAGTTCGGGAATAAGATCATTTTTTAGATTATATTTTAATCTTAAATTAACCATTGTTTTATAAGGCGATATAATAGGATCTGTCGGATTTTCCCGTGATGGAATAGAAGTGTCTGAATGAGAGATAGTATCAGTAGATATTTTAGTTTGCATATTTTCAATAGCGGAATCTGTGAGTGATTCTTTATTAATATTGTTTTCATTTGAGTCCACTGTCTCACCTTTATTCATCGAAAAAGGTATTGGTCGTCTTTCTATAGATTTTATATAATATTTAATAGTTTGTTTAGATGATGTAGTAGATATTACAGGACTTACAGTACTTTTTATATGTACTGGTCTAATATATATTTGTATGTCATCTTCATCGTTAACGAGTTCTGAACTACTTTTTCGTTGCATTGAAGTTACCTTATCTTTTTTATCTAATAAACTCTCTTCTGGTACAACAGTTTTCGCCTCAATATTATTTTTGTGATAAAATCTACTGAAAGGTATTTGTTTATTTTTATTTTGATCTGAAAAAGTTTGTCTAGACTTATTGTACTCATCATATGGTCTCGTTAATACAGTCAACGTATAAGGATTATTAGTATTATTGAGATTTCGCCTAATTGAAAAACCTGTTGTTAGTGACAAAACCTTTTTCTTATCCCTTTCATTCGCAGGTTGAACACCATTTACATTATTATTATTGTTAGTCACACGAAAATGTCTGGAAGTTGACAGTCTTTCAGTGGAAGATGTCGTCTCTCTTAATCTGTACACATTGTCAGTCTTCTCAAAAGGTTTAGCAAGGGAAGAGAAGTTGATAACAGAAGATAGGGTTGTAGGAGCTGGTGAAGTAGTGGAATATTCATTTATAGGAGATTGACTCATTAAGGATTCTGGTTTTCGAACAAGGTTTTCATCTGTGGATGATCTGTTGAATATAAAGCAAACAAAACTTTCTATTTTAAGCTCTTTATAAAAAATGCAATGTACAAAAATGCGTATCGTGAAAAGAGCCTAAGTTGCAAACGAAATTTTTTGTTAGATGAGCGAAAGTAAATACAAGAAAATTATGTATTTGAGAGATATTGGGATGCTTGGGATAAAAGATACCACAAAAGCTTTAGATATAAAAATAAGTTATAGTTAAATAAGCATTGAAAAAGTATATATATATAAGGACGTAAAAATGTTTTTTAAATATTTACAGTTCAATATTAACAACCTTTAAACCGTCAATGTCTGATAATTAGTATGTTATGTTCTATTAGTTGGTACTAAAATGATATTATTCTGATAGACCATTCAAAGGTTGTTATTAGATGAAATGAAATAATAATAAATAAAAATGTATACGTATTGTAAGTAATATATGATGTTAATGAAATTTGATATGATTTAAGCTTGGGTGAAGTTGTTAGAAGATCTAGATTTCTTTTGTAGTACCTTGTGGTATATCGAGATGGGGTCATTGCTTCAGTGAACGGTGCAGTAGTTGGGCGTTGTGTAGTAGTGGTAGTAGTGGTTGTGCTAGTCGTAGTAGAAGAAGTGCTAATAGATGTAACTTCATAGGCGGGTGTCCTCACGCTGTTCAAATTATGATCATAGCCCAATTCATTACCCTCGCCCCTGGATCGAGGCAATTCTATGTTATTTATTTACTAATATGAATTCTTAAACATATTGAAAAGATTTTTAAAAATAAATCTTTAATTTTTTACAGCATAATATAATTCTTACCTTGTAGAATGGCGAATGGCAGATTGGTACCGGTTTTGATTATTGATCTGTAAATATTATAGCATTGCACATAATTTATTGTTTCTCGGTTAATTATCTATAAAATAAATGAAATCTTAAAATTACAATAGTTGATGCTATATTATATATATTAACTCATACCTGTCCTTGAATAAGTGCGTCATCATAGTCATCATTGGACACCGGTCTCGGTGTATACGTCTCGACCGGTCTTCGCGATGGTGGTGTTCCTCGGTAAGTTTGCTGTACTGCTGGTCGGAGCGAAGCTGTATTATATTGCTGCACATAGTCTGCCAACACCACAGCCAACCGCCAGTTAGTGTATCACATGCTTACCAGTTACCATCAAAATTGGTATAATAAAAAATCATGATTTGATGAATACCAGTGCCATGTGGTAGTTTCAATTTCATATTAATTAGTACTATGGTTTTTACAATGTCATTAAAATCATTAGTTAAGTAGTTGTTGCTTATTTTACATAGCTTATTATTAATAAAAATAAGAGAATATTTTTATTTAAGTCTAATAAAATAAATGTAGTATTATCACATAAACTAAATTTTATATGATTATTGTGAATTAAATATCCCGATGTTAATAACTTCAACCAAATGACTTTAATATGTTTACTAGATTTATTGTTATCAATTTTCCTCTCAATATAAAATAGGTCAAATTAGTAAATGTATTTATGATTAACTCATTTCTTACCTGTATCCTTATACAACTCGCCGTCCTCATCATAAACAGCGTAATAGGGATCATACTGATCGGGGCTATAGTTTTGAGAGCCATTGTATAGCATTTTGGGCCGAGGACTTGCTGAATATGATACTGGAGCAACACTTTCAGTTGGTTCCAAACTAAAAAAATAACAAAATCCTGACGTACCGTTTTTATTGAAAGATACGTTTCAGAAGCTATTCACAAAGCAATCAAGTTAAGTCAGTCTTATTTTAGTCAACTGTTCAATCAGTCAAGGTTAGTTGCGTCAGTTTTATAATGTGCTCTATATGAAGACCACTGTAAAGATATGTACAAACAAGAAATCGCGCGGAATTAGTTAGTTAAGTGCTCATTGAATGAAGAATTTTAGGTCTTGATGATGTCAATTAGATAGCGTTAGTTAGCTTTGCGTACTTCAATTTACCTGTTTGTCTTATCGTCATGCTTAGTTTTAGTATACCGAGTTTCTTGATTGTAGTTATCACGAGGTGAAGTAAACTTCATAATTTGTGTCACTAAATTCTGATGACGTGTGTTTACTCTAGTTGGTTCAGTTGAAACGATCGTGACAGATTCTTTACCAGCAGTTGGCTTAGCTAATCGGTGCCTAACAGTGTAAGGTCTGAGGGTAGTTTGATTCAAATATTTTGGCGGTCTCTGTGTGAAAGGACCAGTAGCAAAAATAGTAGGTTTTCTTGAATACATCGTTTTATTTCTCAGAGATTGATGAACTATGTTATAATTAGATATTTCTGGACGTGTTAGAATGGTTGGAGTAGTTTTGCCATAATGTACAATTACAGGAATTGTAACCTTTCCATCAACGATTTTATTGAAATCTTTTATTGGGGCTTTGGTTACAACTGATACGTCATTCTGATTCTTATACACAGTACTGGGTTTAATTGTTGTAAAAGCTGTTGGTATTCTTGCTGTCTGATAACTAGGTCTAGCATTTATTGGTTTTTCTTGAGGATCTTCTTCATAACTATAATAATCATCATATTCCTTATAGTTCTGTGCCATTTGTGGCCTTTTAGGGCGAATCTCAGAACTCGGCATATACTTAGATTTTACAGGAGGTTCATAATAATACTGATCATCTTCATCATCATAATAGTAATCATTCATTTCTGGTGAAGGTTTAGGAATAGGTTTACGTTTTAAAGGTGCTGTTGTAGTAGAAGATACTGGGTTTTTTGCGACATTCGTGAAAATATTTATACCTTTTATTGGCGTAAGAAGAGGTGTATTTGTTTGCGATACATAATTTTGCCTTGTTGGAATATCAGATACTGAATTGGGCCTTGGAGTTGACTGTACAAAGAACTGAGATTCTGTAGAAGGATTTCTCCAATAATTTTGTAATGCTGAAAGTTGTTCATTTGCCAATGTTGTTAATGGTTTTGCAGTTGAATGTTTAAAAACAGTAAAAGTATTTTGTGTCGGTGGTTTAGGAGTAGAAAACAAATATGGTTTTCCAGTTGCTAATAAATGTGGTTCTAAGATAACCTTTTCAGGTTTTACTAAATATTGTTGTTTTGGTGTCGACAAAATTATTGGCGCATTAGTGGCTGTTACTATTGAATATGGTTTTTGTGTCATAGTAAAAAATTGATTTTCACTACTTAATTTAGTTTTATTATGACCACGACTTGCACTATTGTCTATAGTTCCAATAAAACTGTAGTTTATGGGCAATTGACCTTCACCTTTTAAATTCGGAGACTTATTATAATTATGAGGTCTAATAGATTGTACAGATATTTCAGAATGTTGTTGTGGTATTCTATAAACATTTTGACTTAACGGTTGATGTTCTTCATTATTTTGCTGCTGTTTTTGCTGTGGTCTTATATTATTTTGTTGCTGCTTATAATGTGGTACTTGTGTCCATTGATCCATATTTTGAGTTTGCTTTACAGATTCATTTGGAGTACCATTTATAACAGTACCTATGGGGCCTACAGGAACTGTAAATGGTCGTGGAGTACTCATCCCTTGGTAATTTATAGTTGACGATCGAGTGCCCGAATTATAATTAGTAGCTGTAGTTGATTCTGCAGGAGGGTTGGTTACTCTTAGTGCTGCTATTTGAACATTTTTAAACTTTGGGGTTGTGTATTGTCCGCCACTTAATTTTGTTAAAAATGCATCAAAGTCAAAATTAGGATCAGCAAAAGGATTTTCAATTTCAGCATACTTATGATTTGGGTGTGTATATTCGTATGGTAATTCAGAAAAATCATGTTCGTCGTCATCTTTATTCTTTTCAGAAGAATAATTTTCTGATGACTCATTTGACTCCTCGCTTTCATTAGAATTATCCCGATCAGGATAATCTTGTTGCTTATGATTAAATTCTTTTCCATTTCTGTGTTCATTATAATTCTTTTTATTTTGGTCTATTGAATCCGCAGGCCTTACTTTATATTCATTCCGAGTATTTGGTGATAACGTATTCATAAGAATTGGTTTTCCTGTCACTACAGTGCTTGGTAATTGCGACGAATCTGGAAATAGAACTTGCTGGCTTGGACGATTTATTGATGAAACTATTTGCGAGGAATATTGGTTTCCAATAGGTTTAGGTGAATTATTATAAAATCCACCTGCTAATGAAGTAAATGGATTATTACCATTTTTCAATGTTGATATTGGTGGACTTTTTGTAATTATTTGTGTACCCGCATTTGCTGGGTTATGAATAAATTTTTGGTTCGTTGGATCACGTAAACTTGGCTTAAATGTTCGTTGAGATTCCGAATCTATTTCATAAAATGGATGAGAATCTGAAGCCAAATATAAGTTTCCTTCAGAAGGATACGGATTTCGTGTTAAGTCATACGCATTAGTTTTGCTTGCTTCATGAAAATTTAACGGAAATCTTTCCTTTTGAGGGTTCGAATTAAAATTATAATGTTGCAAATTTACTAATTTTATTGGTTTTGCAGTACCCCAGTTTTTTGTAGGTTTATAGCCATTCTTAATATAATACCGAACTTGTCGTTTTCCTCTTTCAGTGTCGTCTTGATTATTGTCATCATCAACCGATTCCATATCAATATCAGAAAATACTATATCTTCTTCTATATCGATTTTCTTTTGAATATTTTCTACACCATCACTTTCCTCATTCTTTGAACCTATTTCTGTTCCTATCACATCTCTTTTTCTTCGTAAAACTATTTTTTCAGTAACGTGGTCAACATTGATTTCATTTGTCTCAATGTCTAATAGTCTGTCATGTAGATAGTCAGTCACGTAGTCACTTTTGTCTTCACTGAAATAATGACAATGTCAATTAGTTTATGAGTCTAGGCTTTATTGAGCTCGATACTGACGACATTTTGATATACATTAGATACAAAGTTAGCATTAGTTATTTTCATTATTGAGCTGTTAATGAAATGTATGTCAAAACGTCAGTATTTTTGTATTTAATGTACCTACCTATATGTCTGTGGTGCTTGAGTAACTACAGCAGTTCTTCGATCATCAATTTGAGTACCAAAAGAGAAAGAACCACTTTTACCGTTGTTTTGAGGTATTGAAGCTGGTATAATATTAGAGTTAAGATTTCTTCCTGAACTAACTAGCTGAGATACATAACCATCACGGTCTTTCTGAACTTGCCCTATAGTAGAAGGTTGTCCTCGATTTACACGTTGCTGTCTATCACTTTCGATTTCTTCGGCTGGTGGCAAGTCATCTACATCAGCATACAATTGTTGTTGCTAAAATTAAAATACAGAGTAAAAATAATCATTTAATCCACTATTTTAACTAAAATAAAAATATATGCTGAGCTCATCATTATGTGGTCTAAATAATAATGTTTGTTTTAGATGTGTTTGTTACGCTTACACGCAAATAAATAGGATTATGATAAATTCTTGGTGAATTTCTCACAATAGGCTAACTGACTTGACTCATGTTTATCTAATCATTTTTCACTGGCCTCCCCTTAGCGTAAACCGTAAACGCAAACGGGTGAACCATTATCATCTATTATGCATTTAAAAATACGGTAGTTACTAAATGATTAATAAGTGCATTATTTGCAAATTCTTTCTACAATGAAATCATATGGTCGCAAATTTAAAATATACTTTTTCGTATTCATCGCGGTTGAATTTCGGTTGCCCTCTAGACGTAACCACAGGATTAGGTTGCGCCCTTGGAGGTGGTGGCGGTGGCGGTGGTGGAGTTCGTCTTGGGGGCGGAGGTGGTGGTGGTTCTCTCTCGCTGATTCTCTCCAAATCCTCTGCGCCTAGGGCGCTGCTACCGTCACAGCCTACGTTTCGTGGCCAATCACACGTTTGGAGTTCATGACTGGAAATAATAATAAAAATATGTATGTATTTTTAAAAGTACATATGTACTATAACCTATTTATATGAAATCAAGTTATGGTCATGTCATGTTTATGTCATGTTTTCGTTTTGAAATGAAATATACATAGTATAATCTCAATCTCTCCTATTTAAGCATCATAGTATATTAGCTGTATTTGGTTGAAGAATGAAATAAGGCAGTAAAATTACGTATACAGCCGGTTGCCACTTTCCGTTAGATGGAGAGACAAATTGTCGACTACACGAATGGAGCGTGTGGTATACTTAGGAATTTACTATGTCCTTTAAAATCTGTCCATTCTGACATTTACGAAGCAGCGACTCTTAAGTGCTATTTCTCTTTCGTATCATGTATAATATGAAATTGTCAAAAGGATCTTTGGGTTAGCGTATACAGAACTCCTTTTGTTGTTGCTTAGGACGACTAAGCAACATACACTACGTATTAAGAGTTGACACAGCTCTCATAAAGAAAGACTTAGCCGTTAATTAATTAGAAAAAAAAATTATTTTATTTAATATATGCAACCAATTTTTTGCTAAAAAATAAAGTAGCACTGTTTCATACGTAGCCATCAGGCAGAAGTTGCCTTCAGCCGCTTCATAAGTCCATTCGCAGGTTTCGAGAGCCAACTGCACTTCGACTGGTGAAGCTGTAAGGGCCAGCTACGGGCAACAACGTTAGAGTAGGGCGAATAAATAGAATAACACGGGTTTGAATATATTATTACTTTTACATACAATCTTATTCCAACGTCTCATCTGGTCTCAGCGTCATAAAAAAATAAGGGCAAGTAGAATACACACCTGTACATGAGACCACCAGTGCAGGACTCAAGCAAGGCGCCGCCAAACACACATACGTAGTACAACGTGCAGTCGGTGGGGTGTGGGTAATAGCCAAATTCTTCAGGACAATCGAAGTCTATATCCCTCTTGATATCGGCGGCTACGGGTACACTTCTGATGGGACCTGAACGCTGCCTCGACCGATCTGACTGGGCGCCGAAGCATTCTGAGAATAAAAAATCGTATTTTAGTATTAATAAATTATCTAATCAATGTTAATATAGGTAGTACTAATAATTTATATATAGTCGTCGCTCAATGGTCGAAATTCAATCATAATTAATGGAAATTATAAATTTGACTTTTTCTTATAATATAACTTCAATGCGTATGGGTGTTAAATACCATATGCATAGTAATGTGTGTAATGTATTTTTTTACTAAATTTTCGCATCATTTAAATCATTGACTTAATGTATTTTTATGCGTATTTTTTGTAAAAATATTAGCATTTTGCACTCCTTTTCTATGTAAACTATAAGTATGCGAAATTTCAATCTCGTCCATCCGTACAATTTTTGTGTTGTGTTTGTCGGTCTGTTTATTAACTTTTCACAATCGTATAGTTATAATCTAAATTTTAAAAATTAACATGTATTTTCATGTTATATTGTATTAGGAGGATATACAAAGACTAGATTATGTCTTTAATTTTTCAATCACAAAATATCAATGATGATGTTGAAGACAAAACTAGAGGACGTCCCAACCAATTTAGTAAATGTGTTTAAAAACATGCAGGTCTCAGAAACGTAAGAACACATTTTTTTTGTATAAAATGTTACTCACTGTTAATAATTCGTATAGGAATTTGAACATTTCAATCATTTGACAGGTAAAGAAAAGAAAAAGGTATTATACATCCGTATACCACAGATGAAGCGAAGGCTCAGCTAGTTACTAAACAAGAATAATAACGCCACAAGGACTGAAGATAGAAATTACAAAATTATTCCAAGTTGCAAATCATGAATTTATTTGACGGACAATACGAGATAATTGCACCATGCACCGGTTCTCCAGCAATATGTTGTACTGTAGGGTACTATATCAAGATCAATGGAAGGTTCAATAACTCAAAATTATTTCAACTGGAATGCTTTATCGCAGATATAATACGGTGGCGTGACCACGCACCACTGCGAAGTATCAAATGGCAAAGCCCTATCATATGCAGTGATTTATTAATTAACCCTTTTATTTTTACTGTCACTCAATGTTTTGTTTAATGTTCATTATTATTCAGCAGTTTTTTCTGTGACTCGACTAAAATTATCTAACTTTACTGATTTAATTTCAAAAGTACTAGTCGCTATAAAATTTTTTGATTATCCTTTATTTCTGTGACAGATAAAATCTAACCTTGTTCGGGTCGTGCTCAAACTATTATATTAACAATATTAACCTGCATTTTGATTATACTGCAATGTATCTTCGTATGTATTTTCCTCATTGAATCCTTGTCACGTGTTTGTGAGATGGAGAAGAAGAAAGATCATGGGAGTAAAATCAAGGTTTGATCTCTTTCGGTTAAATTATTGCTTTAAAATAAACAAATACAGTATATCCTATTGAAATTAGAGTGAAAACTATTCAAGTCCTAAACTGAAGTTTTGTTTAAATATTTAAGCAATTTTTATGATAATTTTATTACCGAAACAAAAAAGAAATTATTCTCTTGATCTTATACTCAAAATTCACCGCTACATATACGTATAGGTGTGTACTAAAGAATTACAAATGTAAAGAGTGTCTAAGGAGGACGGTAATAAAAAAACCGTTCTTTGTACTCTGTGTAACATATTATAATTTTTCCACAGATAACACAAGTAAGATACACATCATCTAAATTCAAGACAGTGAGAATAGAAATTGCAAGAGTGATGCTTATCTCAATTTGGCTAACAATTTTGTCACGTTTATATTGTGATCACGAGCTCGTGTGGGATCCGGGACAGTGGTCGTCTCTCGTGCATGTCTACATATATACGTACAAGGATTATTACTACATTTACCTGTTTAAATAAATTATATTCATTGACGCAATACTCAAATTTTATAAAATTAGCCAATTTATATTTAAGATACATCTATTGCAGTTATATAAATTTATTCAATGAAGAGACAATTTTGTATGTATCAGTATCAAAGATATTTCGGTTGAAAATGTACTAATTACTATCTATAATACATAATTTTCTGTAAACTTCATTATTACACTATTACTGCCTGGTTATATCTAGTATCTCAACACCAATAACGTCAAAGAAAAAAAAAATATATTTTTTATATTGTTTAGAAATAAAATTTATAATTATAACATTGTTTTTTTTTATTATGAAACAAACTACTAACCACTTATGATCTTGATTAAGATTTTGAAGAAGTTAAGCTATAGTACTAGTTAGGAGAACTAAAGATTTCATGTATTTAACATTGCTAATCTACCAAAGTATCGATGAAAAAAAACTCAACGGTAACATGAATGCGATAAAATTTGGAACCTTCCCTATAATCGTGAAAATAGAGTATGTATTGGGTATGGTATGTAAGACAATTATATAAATTTAAATAGTAACACAAGTACCAAGTCGATACAAGTGTCGCAACACAGCCTTGTAGCTCAGACATTAGCATCATAGCATTGAACAATAGCAACAGTAACAAGCTGTAATAACCAAACAAAAGATACAGTTTCTCACAAATATCTACTTAATCCGTTAAAAGCAATTGTAATGATTGTCAATACTTCTCAACTTGATACAGTGGTATCAGAGTAAAATGAACTTTCTGATCATACTAATAGGAAGTATATATCAAATCGTATTTTAATAGTGCGAAAGTGTCGACTGTCGACATATGGCCGTCAAATTGCATGGCCGGCGCACGCGCGATATAAACACCTCGCCTTAGGCATTCGTGCTTGCTTGCCGCGTGCAACTGTACATTCATTACTTACTGTTTGGTAAAGTTTACTTCAGTTTTTTTTCTGTTCTACTTTAGAAGATAATAGTAATATTAAAATGCTATCAATTTTTATTATCACGCTTCTACTATATTTTTAAAAATTATATGGTTTATTAAGTACAATAGGAAGTGTGCAAATTTTGTTTTTATTAGTATAATATCTTATCAGATCGACTTCAATATTGGGCAGTAAAGAAAAGTAAATTCTGAAAAATATCGTGATTAAGTCCTGGTACATTAGCCACAATAAGCTAAGTTAACAAAGAAACCTTTACGTAAACGAAATCTTTGTAGTTGCTTATTAGAACTGTCTCACAGCACTATTTCTAAACTATTTGTAAAGCCTCCACAATTAGTGGCCAGAAACTTCCCCCGGATAAACACGCCCAATCTTAACTGTCGATTAAACTGCAGTAAAATGTAACAAAACGTGGCATTATCAGACAACGAAATCGACCTAGTTGCTGCAACAGCCGCCTGCTTTATACCTTGTGCCTAATTAATCAATTGGTCGATTCCTTGATCGCTGCAGTTGGTGTTGCAAACTGTAATAAGTCCGCAATTATTCCTCATAGATAGACCATAGGAGCATGAGATTCGTAATAATGGTGGGCCGTGTGGGAAATGTTCAAACGTACTATTAGCATGTTATTATAGCAGCATTAAATGTTGAAATATATTCACGATCATCTTCATATGCGCATAAAGGAGAATTTAGCAACGTTACGATATTATTACTTTTTATTAAAAATATCAAAATCTACAAATGCTCTTCGTGTCGATGACTTTTCTTATTTTCTATTGCTAAATGGCATTTCTTCAATACAGCTTTGAGAATCCTCCATATAAGTGAAATTTATTGTAAAATTACTTCTACAGCTATTAGTCCATTACGCAGGATCTGAGTGGGCGACAGTATAGAGTGGGTACCGAGTTTGCAGTACTTATTTGCATTTTACACAGATCTTATAATGCACTTACACCCACTGGTATTGAGAATTCTCAGTAACTTTTGTAACTATTTTTGGAATAAAATTCTTGCCGCCGCCTTAATTGGATTTGAATTACTAATACTATAAACAAATGCAAAATGGTCAGTAAAAATAAAATAAACGGAGACGGAGATCCAACAATATTATGTCAATGACCGGCACTACGGATTTCCTTTAAAGCGAAACAAAAAATGCATATCATTTAAGGAAACGTACTTAAGAAAACGAACAATGGTGGCCAGGCTAATCAACCAAAAACCGTTATCCTGTTTCGTTAATTTCTTAATTCTAACAATTTCTAAATAAAAAATGAAAGAGTTCAATAGCCAAGGACATTTATTTTACATATGTCTATGAATCAGAAGACGCATTATTATTAATCAACATGACATCTTGTATACGATTTGACTCATTCAATAAAGAAAATGCATATAAATACATATAGCTAAAACATAATAGTTGTACATAAATTATTGTAAGAACAATAAATAAAATAACCTCCAACGCAAGGAGACTCCCAAGAAATGTTGAATAGAGCACATTTTCTCAGGCACTTAAACTATTCATTTGAAATACGAGTATTAAATAAATGAACTCTCATACTGACTTTCCTGTTAATTCGTGGTATAAAGGGGAACATGATGACTTTCACAGCGTGCGAGATGGTAATCAGGCATGTAACATAGTCAAAGGACTATGTCAAAGAGCCGTGGGAGGTAAATTGACCAGGATAGCCCTTAGCACTAGTATAGTCCTATGACTGGACGAGTCATGAGTAGGCGACCGCAGGCCAAAGCATTGAATGATTTATGATATCTTTAATCTCGCAATGTTAATGTTGCAATAAATAACAAAGATCAAAACGCTCTACAATATATTCTTTGAAATACATTTATGTAAGACATGAAATGACATGTTATGTAGAATATGAATAAGCTCAAGAGATCTAGGTATGATTAGGTGAAGGTTTTATTACAAAGATAGATTAGGACAAAGGAAAATAATTTGTAATACCAATCAAGATTGCAAATAATCAAAACAGTTGCTTATGTTATCTGTGGTTGCAATATAGAAATAGTATAAACAAATCTTTATGTAACTTAACACAATATATTAATATTAATAATAAAAACAATTGTGCAGAATTTATGCCTTTATACCATTTATGAATTTATACCTTTTTTGCCTTTACAGGCACTTTCGGTTT